CTCTCTCTCTCTCTCTCTCAAAAATAAATAAAATGTAAAAAAAAGTAAAAAAGAATATGGAGCTCTTTACAATCCCAAATTAATTATGTGTCTCTTATGAGGAGCGTGTGTTTAAGACACAAAGTGCCTTGATAGGCAGTGAATGGTAAACATTAGAATCAGGGTGGTAGATTGGAAAGAGCACTGCACTGGGGTTGAAAGACCTAATTTTAACTCCAGCTCTTATTTATTTTTTATTAATTTTTTTTTTTTATGTTTATATTTGAGAGAGAGAAAGAGAGTGTGCATGGGCGGGGGAGGGGCACAGAGAGACAGAGACAGAATCTGAAGCAAGCTCCAGGCTCTGAGCTGTCACTCAGAGCCCAACGTTGGGCTTGAACTCACAAACTAGGAGATCATGACCTGAGCTGAAGTCAGATGCTTAACTGACTGAGCCACCCAGGACGCCCCCCTCCAGCTCTTGTTTACTTATTTACTATATGACCTTGGACAAGTCACTTAGTTACTCTGAGCCCCAGTTATTTAAAGTGTTAAATGGATACCATCTCTTGGGATTGTTAAGTGAGGATTGAATAAGCTAAGCTATAAGGTGCTATATTGATCTTGTTAGATGCTTGGTGGGACATTGCTAGAAATAAGTCTTTTGTTTACTTGCAAAATGCTTACTTAGAGCTTTAGCCTTTTTTCCTCTGTGAAATTTTTGTCCTGTGGCATCTCCTGACAGAGTTTTTTTCACACTTTGTGCGTATCTCTATGTATATATCATACTGTATTTCATTTATCTGACACATCTGTCTTCAGCTGGATCAGTTGCTTCTCAACAGGAGGGCAGGATGCCCTATCTGGGGAGGTATATTATAGTCCCAGGGTTTGGGTGGAGTTGTGTGGATGGGGAAAGGCATATGAACAATGAAAATACAATCTACAAGAAGAACTCAACTCATTATCAGAGTAGTCACAATATTTCAGAATTTTTATCTTTATTTTATTTATTTTATTTTTTAATGTTTGTTTATTTATTTTTGAGAGAGCGCAAGCAGGGAGGGGCAGAGAGAGGGATACAGAGGATCCAAGGTGGACTCTGTGCTGACAGCAGTGAGCCCGATATAGAGCTCGAATTTACGTACCGCCAGGTTAGGACCTGAGCCGAAGTCGGACGCTCAACTGACTGAGCCACCCAGGTGCTCCTATTTCAGATTTCTAAAGGACACTAAAGGAAAGTTTGAGGTATTATATTCATTAAAATTTAGCATGGGTTGAAAACAGATTGAGAGCATCTCAT